CGCGCCCGCGCCCACGCCTCTGCAGCAAAGCGGCCGCGCGGAACGCGCTGCGGCAGGAACCGCGCGCCGCGAGGGTGTCGGGAAGGGGCGGAGGGATACTGCGGGAAGGGCGGCGCCCCCTCCCAGGCCCACCGTAGTCCCGACCCGCGGGGGGGCGGGGCCGGCGCTAACCGCAGTCTGGGGGGCGGCTTCGCGCCAGCCTGCCTCGGGAGTGCCGGGCGCACCCTCGCGTGCAGACCACTACCCCGTCTCCGGCGCCGCGCCACGCCACGCCAGGGCTGCCGTGCCCTGTGGGACGGGACGGGCGGGCGGCTGTGGGCGGCGGGGATGCGCGGGGAGGGGGCAGCAAGGCCGGGAGCTTGGCAACTGCAGTGCTGGAGGCGGCAGCGGATGGATACCGAACGCCCCTCTGTGAGGCTGCACCGCAGTCTGCGCAGTGCCTGCCCCCCCCCACTCCCCCTCCTTTCCGGGCTCTGGGGGAGGGTGCCAAGTCCTGTGGGCGGGCTGCGGGGGTGGCTGCGCAGCACACCGCCGACGAGGCTCCCCCATGTTCGTCTTTCCCTGCTTCTAGAGCCATGAAGATGAAGTAGGCGCTTCTGCGGTTCAGGCACCTGGGATGGGCGCCCCAGGAGCCTGCTCTTACAGAGGAGGGCTGACCTAGACCTCTATAGCCTTAGAAAACCAAGCAGAGGGCCGGGCCAAGAGTCATTCTTTCTGCCACACTGATTGTTTCTCAATTCCAAATGGGAACTCATGTGCTCATTGTGCTGTTCCCACAGTTGCCAAAGAAACTAAGGCCTTCTCCTGTTGGGACTCGCAGGGAGTCTGTCATACAGTCCTCTGTCTGCTGCGCAAGGGCCCAGGGTCAGGCACCAGGTGGGACCTCGGTCCTGGCTTCCAACCCACACTTTTGTCTGGAAAGGTGACCACTACGCATGCAGTTCTTCAAGGCAACGCTGAGCTGATCTCCTATACTCCCACTGTAAGCTCTGAGTCCTGCTTAATGAATGCTTATGCTCCTTTCCCCTAAATGTATGTAAGTGTTGATTCTGGCTAGAGCAAGGTAATTTTGGTTTTACTCTGTTTCACAAAGGAAGTGTTCTTTTTTAGGTCTTTTCCACCACTGTACCCTCAGGGCAGTAGGCAAAGTGATCAGTAGTTAAAGCATGTCTGGGGCAGTTGGGTCATGAGAATTCCATAGTACCCTTTACTGGTTGCATCCCAGTGGACTTAGCCCAGATTTTCCCACAAAAGGAATAAATGCTCTCTATATGGCTTTTCAATGGAGGAAGGGAGCAAAAGAGGACTACAGAAATTGTGAACTACCCCTGAAGCATACTTATTTTAGAAACAGTTTTCATACTTCCATTTTAAATTACAAAGCAGAATACTGGCACAAAAACAGACACAAGGATCAATGGAACAGAATAGAGGATGCAGAAACAACCCCAAGCACACCCATTTGTGCTTTCACAAAGGGTCCATAAACATATACATTAAGAAAGATACAGTCTTTAATAAATGGTGTTGGGAAAACTGGCTATCCACATGCAGGAGCTTGAATCTAGACTCACATTTCTTACCATGCACTAAACTAAAACCAAAACGGGTCAAATAACTGTTAAAATTAAAACAGTTAACCTGCTGGAAGATAAAATAGGTTAACCTCTTGAAGTCATAGGCATATGAAACGACTTTCTGAATAGAACCCTAGTTTCACAGGAAATAGTGCCTAGAATCAATAAATAGGATCATGTCAAAAAAACATCTGCACAACAAAGGAAACAACCAATAGAGTGAAGAGAAAGCCTACAAAATGGGGGAAAAAGGTTTTGCCAGATATTCCTCAGATAGAGGGCTAACAGAATTTTGAAAGAACTCAAAGAAATTAAAACCCCTAGAATAAAAGATCCAGTCAAAATATGAGCAAATGAAATGAATATACACTTCACAGAAGTACAAATGGCCAATAAATATATCAAATGTTCAGTGTTGCTTGCTATTAGAGAAATGTAAATTTAACCAATACTATGATTCCATCTTACCCCAGAAAACATGGCCATCATCAATAAATGTAATAAATGCTGATAAGGCTTGGGGAAAAAGTAAAACTCCATTATTAGTGGGACTGTAAATTGGTGCAAGGACAGTGGAAATCAGTATGGAGATTCCTCAAAACACTGAAACTAGAAATTCCATTTGACTCAGCTATTTCCCTTCTAGATATCTATTTTCCCAAAAGGTTTTAAGACATCCTATTAAAATGATACATGCATACCCATGTTTATAGTTGTGGGGAGCAGCTGAAACGAGCACGATCGCATGTATGGAGCCGGAGCAAGAACAGTCCCGAAAACAAAGAGCACCTGAGGCAAACCACAGAACAAGCTTCTCCAGTCCACAGAACACCATGGATCGCAGGCAATTCAAGTGAACAGGTTGCTAGGCAGAGGGGTGTCACGTGATATCAACCTGCCAAATGTATAAATAAATGTGCTGAAGTGGTTGAGCAGTTTCTTTCTTCCCATCTGGAGAGATCCACTTGATCCCAGCTTGCAGTATCTTGTCTTCTTCACTTTCTTGCTGCCCTTTCATGGTCTTTACCCTGGGAAGTTCAAGAGCCATGCTGGCCGTGGCATATAGCAGTATAATTCATAGTAGTTAAATTTTGAAGCAGCCTGTATATCCATCAACAGATAAATAGGTAAAGAAAATATAGTATTTACATACAATGGTGTACTATTCTTCCACAAAGAAAGATAAACTTGAGTCATCTATAGAAAATGGATGCACCTTGGGACCATAATATTATGTGAAATAAATAAGGCAACCTTAAATATTGCATAATTTCTCTTACATGAAAAACCCACATATAAAGAGCAAAATAAAACATGGGTAAGAAAAAGTAGAGGGATAGATCCTTCCCAAATTGGAAGGGAATGAAGAGATGGAGGGAGAGGGAGAAATGGGTGGGGAAGGGCATGTAAAAAGAAATTAAGATGTTCTATGTACATGTAGCAACTCCTGAAAAGGAATGTAAATGTTATATACTGCAAACATGTACTAATAAATTATGGGGAACAAAAGAAAAAAATGGTCTTTTTACCTTGTCATTTGTATTTTGGGGGGACATGTCTCAATTTAACACACCCGTATGTGACTTAGAAGACCCAAGACTTTTAAATTGAGCATTCCTTATCCAAAATGCTTGGGACCAGAAATTTTTATAAGGTATAATCAAAATATTCAGTGATTATTTAAATAAAAATAATACTTCCACAAAATACACATTGCCATTAATCTCCCTCAAAATGTCCCCCTGAATTGTACATATTTATCCCGTCATTCTTGCCATTTTTTGAAGCAGCTCTGGAAGTCCTCTGTCATGATTCTTATAGAAGGTTTGCTCTTATGGTGAATACTGCTGCTGGGTGTCATCCCATGAAGAGGTAGGTCATAAAAGCAAATACATTGTGTCCTCCTTATTCACCATGTCTGGCAGAGTAATAACTCTGGCTTTTCCTCAAACACAAAATACCTATTAGAGGTTAATGTTTGCAATTGATTCACCACATCAAGGCAGCCAAAACAATGCAACTAGACATTCACGAAAAAGGACTTCCAGAACTGCTTCACAAAGTGCAAGAATGATGAAATAATTATTTGCAAAGCAAGGGGGAGTATTATGAGAGGAATCAATGGCAATGTGTCTTTTACTGCAATACATTTTTAAAAATTTAATTATTCAATATATTTGTCAATCATACCTTGTCCTGGTTGAGCAACCCTGATCCAAAATCCAAACTATGAAGCTTCAATTTCAAGCATTTCAAACATAATTTTTTTTTTGTCTTTTTGAGACAGGGTCTCACTATGCAGTTCAGGCTGGACTTAAACTCACTTTGTAGCCCAGGCTGGCCTCGAAATTGCAACAATCCTCCTGCCTCAGTGCCAGGATTACAGGCATGTGCCATCACATCTGGCTTCAAACATAAACTTGGGTCATTTCATATTAAGAATGTTGAACCTGTAGGTCTCTGTAAACATTGCAAAATCTGAAAATCTCAAAATCTGAAACATTTTTGGTCCCAAAAATTTTAGATAAAAGATATCTGCTTAAGAATAGTCATTAAAGACAGTATTTATTATAATAACAAATATAAATAATGTAGACACCACCGGTAAAGGATTAACTTAAGTGTGGTACATTTTATAAAGTACTGTACTATCCTACCTTACTATGATATAAGAGCAAAGTAGCTTTCCATATACCAGAATGGGAATAACTTCGGATACAAATTGAAGTGAAAATGCAAATTTTAAATTTATATGATGTCTTTTATGGAAAGTGATATATATAACAGGGGCTGGGGATTTAGCTCAGCGGCACAGTGCCTGCCTGGCAAGTGCAAGGTCGTGAGTTCAATTCCCAGTACTGGAAAAAAAAAAAAAACAAAAAAAGTGATATATATATCTATATATCTATATATCTATATATCTATATCTATATCATATATATATATATATATAGTTATATATATAGTTATATATATGGTATTTGTGTCTGGATGTCTCCCCAAAGCCTCATGTGGTCATGGGGGAGTGCTTTTTGGAGACAGCTGAATCTAAACTTTGTTATTGGTTAATTGTCTAGTGCTTAGATTGGGGGTGTTAGTGCTACACCTGCCTAGGGCAAGTAGCCTGCATACACGCTAAGGGAGGAAAAGAGGTTTGATCCTCCCTTTTGCTTTTGTTGCTTTTGCTGTTTTCTGCCATCATGAACTCCACGAACTATTGCCCCTCTGCCACCCCACCCTGCCTTGGAGTCAGCTAATCATGGACTGAAACCTCTACAAAGTATGAGCTAAATAAACCTTTCCCTCTTTGAATTTGGGTGTTGGGTATTTTGTCCCAGCAATGAGAAAAGTAACATTATACATACATACATATATATATATATATATATATATATATATATATATATATATGGAATGTGTGTAAACCAAGATGTTAAGCAATTATCTATGGGGATGAGGGTAGACATTGTAGTAAAGAAATATCTTCTCCTTTTTTTCTGTATATAATCTGTATTGTTTGTTT